GTTTCTGATCCACAGGGAGCAGCTGGGTCGAGTGTTTGCACTGCGTTGAGTTACTGGGTGTAAATGAGCAGCTACGTAAAGGCTTATCTGGATCTAAACATATTTACGTACGTATACGTGTAATAAAGGAGTGAAGGAGAAATCAGTTAGAGAGAAACTGACATGTTTTAATGACACTTTAATCACTGTGTACTGATGTATGAAACATGAATCCCGGCGTGAGAGGGACTCCGTCTGACCCCTGACACATAAACCTCCATTCAAGAGTTGCCATTTTAATCACAACTGGCATGAAATTTCCTTTTTATCGCGACACTTTTATATGTCTAGATATACCAAGTCAAAGTTAGAATCCAATTTAACGATTTTTCATGGTTTAAATACCCAATACCCCCTTTTTCCTTAAGAGCCAATTAAAATGGACAAAAGTACAATCCTTTAATTTTCTCATAAAAATGTAAATGACTGAAAAAGACTGGCGACAATCAGAGAAATTAATAAATGTGAACGTCTGCACCGAACTGTAAAGCAAGGACATCTGTGTCTGAGGTAAAGACTTTATTTCTCCTCAGATTTTCTGCTGTTTTGCTTCGTAAACGGGCTGAGATGCAGCGTGAGGTCATCCCGGTTACACTCCAACATGAGCTTTATTGTCTCCGACTGAGCGGGTCTGTTGTGTTGATATAACCACTGGGTGTAGTTTTAATGGGTCTCCTGTGAGACATGAAAATCACTATCACCTTCTCGCAGCTAGAGACACTTACAGCTCGACTGTGAACGCGCTGAACTGCTGAGCTCGAGTCTCTTATGTGGTGCACTTCAAAGACCGCCTATAACTCTGCAGCGGTTACAGGTGCCAGGAAGCATCTCTCCTTCTATTCAGAGGGAAAACAGCTGCTGGGAGGAAATCACGCATCACTTTGCAGATTCTAGTTGTTTTGTTCAGTTCAAGATTTGCAAGTTATTCCCAAATTCGTTTTATTTTAATACGAGTCCTTTATTCAGCGTTCAAATCCACTCGATGCATCTTGAGTTCTTAAATCACTTTAAACAGCAAACTGAGGCCTTCTTTCTACAAAAACACCTAAAATGATTTTGGGATGCGCAACTTGTCTTCAACCTGTGAAGCTGTTGAATTTTTGTGCTGGTTAAGATTTGGTTAAGTTTAATAAATTAAGAAACTTCACGGTCAGTTTGGGTTGAAATGAAAGGTTCATGTTAATAAGAGCAAACACGTTATTTTCAGAGGATTCGAGGGCACAGAAGTATGAAAATATTTTTAAAAAGATGTTGTTCAGACAGTTTAACTCCAGCTCACAGGTTCAGAATCTACCAGATAAACCTTTTCCACTTCCTGAACTGAAGGTAGCATCAGCTGATAAATTCCAGCCAGTGCGTCAGTATCCTCCTCCAGAGGTGTTGACATCAGGCCTTTCATTCAAGCCACTGTGAGCGAGTGATTCGATTTTTTAAAAACCCCTCTGCAGAGCCACAGTGAAGCACGGTCGTGTCTGATGAAAAGAGACTGAACTCAATATTTTAATGTTTGGATGCGCTCGTAGCAGCATCACCCCTCATGTACAGTGTCCGACATATTATAATAGTTCATTGATGTATTTGTCGACAGCTGTGTGGCATCTGGAACAGTTAATGAAAAGCTATGAGCATATTTATACGTCAGAAAGCTTTTACTAACTGTTCACTGTGACACATTTAAATCTGCCCTCGCGTGTATTTAAAACTCCTGCGTATGTGTCGATAAAAGCAGATTTGAACTCAAGGTCCACTTACTAGACTGCATGTGGAGCTTTAAGCTGCGTCCTCAGGCCTTCATCAGTGGATCTGTGAAGTAAAAGTATGACTAAATGAATCAATAAATATAAAGAGAAAACACATACAGTAATAAATATTGTCAAGAAATACAAAAAAAATACATTCGTGTATAAAATGTGGCGCCATTTTTACCTGATCTGTGTCAGATTATATGATCAATGAATCCTTAATGGTTCCGGATTAAAACCATTACGTTGCTTTACTCGGAACATATGTGTTGTTTAGACGTGACTTTTTTCTTTTTTTATGACATTATTGTGTTATTTTCCCACACTGGTTATTATCTCCTAATATGAGACACAACAAGTTTCACTTTAAAACTGTCATAAATGTATTATTAGTTGCCAAAATGATGCATATGAGGCCTTTAAAACTACAAAACTTGACGAGTTAAAGTAGATATGGCAAACATAAGCCAACAGTAAAATAAAAAACAACACTAGCAGTGGATGAAAACAGCTTCCTCTTTGGGTGATTTCTATAAATAAATGCACAAAACTACTTATATGTTTCTAAATGTTCTGTAAGGGGGGTTAATATACAGAATAGGATCATCTACGTTATAGTTATGCTAATAAAACTAAAAATGTTTTTCTTTCAATCGCAGCGACGGTTTAAAAAAAGAAAAAAAAAAAGCAGTCCCATAATATGAAAATTTGAAGTTTTTAAATCCTTCATTCAGTTTTTGCAAAAAAAAAATAAACTTAAGCCAAACACACTCTGTCTCCGCTACCAACAGTTAAGCATCGCGGCCTCCAACAGAGTTAAAGAATAGTCGCTCTATCTCGGACAATGAAGCCAAATCGCAGCCTTTGTGAGGAGCCACTCGGGGAGCATTCAACACATCCATCCATAGGCTTGGTTTTATAATAGGATCATAAAATTTGGATAAAGACTTTACAGTTCAAATGGTCGAATCTCACCCTATACTGTAGGTTTTTTTTTCCCCGCTTCATTCTTCTTCTTCCTCTGGGATGAATACGATACGTTAATATCATGCAGACTCTTTGGAAAACTGGATATAAGTCAGGCGCTCACTGGAACATGTAGAAACACAGCACAGGTTAGTGTAGAAATCAGGTCCAAATACGAAATAAAAACATTTAATTGGAACAGAGGGTTCTAAATGTTTGTCTGCTTTTAAAGGCTGCACAAATGTACAAATATCAGAGATGTAAAGAAACCTTAACCACCAGCAGCAGCATAACTTACTGAGATTATTCAACAGAATGTTTGGCGAAGGCCCCCAAAGAGCTTCTAGCTAACGCCAAAGATAAAACCACCAGAATCACAATGATAGGAATCGAACATAATTATTATTTCTTTAAATTTTGTTATTTTGGGTTTTGTTTGTCAAATGATCGGATGAGATTTCTGCCCAGTACGATACCACACTGCCTTCACCGATCACTCCGATCACTCTTGGTCACCCCCAAAGGCCACTTGTGAGTCAGGAAAAACCCTGTTCGACACGGACAACATACTGAAGATGAATAAATCTAACACATACGGGGCATTTACCCGAGGCTAATATTCACCCTCCGTCCCTGGTCCGTCACTTTGACAGCGATGGCACGTCCAAATCCTGGATTTTGAATTTTGGGGCATTTGTATTAGTTGCATTTTAAAGTCATCGCAGAAATAACAGTAAAGAATAATTAAGTCAACTAGATTTCCAAAAAAGGGGGGCAAAACTTTGCAGCTTTACCCTACAATCATACAGCAAGCAGAACAGACTCTGATTGCGATGGTGGATAAAGGTTGGACGTTACAAACTGATGTACCAAAAACGTGTACGACAACAAATAGAACAAATGTCTTAGAAACATGACCCTTTACTGTCAGGAGTTCTCAGAATAATATTCGTCTGCTCAGAAAAAACCCACCGCAACTTACAAAAGGGGGCGCTGTTGAGGCAGAAACCCAGAGCTTAGCATTCCTCTGAATGGCAGCCCTCCTTCTTTCCATCCTGACATTTTCAGTGATCCCACATAAGACAGACGGAGCAGCAGTGGTGGCGGGCAGCGTTACTTACTGAACCACTAAAAACTGGAGGCTCGGATCACTGTGTCATCGGTGAGATACGTCTGAAGAGCTCAGCGCTTCTTCTGTGCGTTGATTAGTTTCATGGAAAGAAGAGCCTCAAGGTTAGAAAGTCACGGATTTTTTTTCCTTCTTTAAATTCCCAGTCACCAAAAAGAACACATGGATGGAAGAAGTCAACATGAAATACTTGCAAGCAGTGGAACACACAAGCACCGCTGAATGTGACACATGATGTAGATTTAAAACTAAACTATAAAGTCAGAAAAGGACAAAAAAGATGCAACCGATCTGTCATTAAACGAACTCAGCCACTAAAGTAAAAGCTGCTGCACATTCACCTGTTGTAATCCAGGTGAAAGAGTTTGTTATTGGGTCACTGCAACGTACAAAACACATAAACACCTGTAGTAAAGTGCACGAACACATTAGAGCATTCCTGAAATGGCAGAAAAAATAAACTGTGGAGAAAATGTTGTGATATTTAAAAAAACAAAACAAAAAACATTATTGCAATTTATTTAGTTTGGATTTGTTTTTTCTATAAAAGGAGTAAAAGTTACCGAAAAATAAAAGTGTGGCGTTCAACTAAATTAGATTTCAGGATACTTGTCACATAAATGCACCTTTAAGCGCTCAGCACATGATGGAGAGGAAACCCTGATATTTATTTAGTGGGTTTGCGACTCGCGCAGCTAGAATTTCAACACAACTTCTACACATTTTCAAATTATTCCTGCGAAGATTTAAATACACTCCCCTCCACCTCAACTTCCACCACGTCCTCGCTGGTATTTTGTGAAACAAAACAACAGCAACAAAAAGGGGTTTTCGAGAAATGCTTTTCATTTCTAGAAAATCCAAAACAAAAGTGGTTCATTTGCTCCTTTTTTTTTTCTGGACCAGAACCAACAGCTGGAATCCGTTGATTTCTAAATTTACTCAACAAAAACGTACGACAGATTTTTGCTGCTGTGAAACTTGAACAGCAACAGTTGACAAAGCACACACACCTTATTCCAGGTGGCATCAAATCCATCTGCTAACGCTTGGCTGCGTCACCACTCATGTAACTGAGGGATATTAAAATGAATTATTCTGAGATGAGCAAAATGTTATAACTTTTATTCTCACACAGTATTTGGGTCATATCAACAATAGCAGATCTTTTCAAGAGCATGCTTTAAAAACACCCCATATGGAGCAAAAACAGACACTTTCATTCAACAAAAGCTATTAAATATAATTTACAGGGGAGTGAGATCTTCCACCGAAGACAACGATCAAAACACAAGTTGAAAACTTGTCTTCCTTGATATGATATAGACAGTGAATTCAAACTCATGAGCTACAACTTCCTCCATGGTCCCAAATTAACTTATGAAACTTTATATATATACACAAAAATGTGCTACACAGACCAGCAATGTTAGAAACTATTGTCAGGATGTGAGAAACCAACCAACAGGATGAACAGAATACCCTCTAAGAATGCAGCTCACTGGTTAACTAATGCAGACTGACTGTATTGCACTATTTTACTGTCTACTGTTCAGAAGGACTAGACTCTGTGTTACAACATATTCCTCGTGTCTTCTCTTTTGACGTGATCGAGTGTCTTGTCGTGGCACTTGCTCTTTTTGTTCTGGTGAGTTTTGACATGTTTTGCCAAGTGGTCACTCCTCATGAACCTCTTGCAGCAGTCCGGGCAAACAAAGCGCTTCTCCCCAGTGTGAGTCCTCAGGTGTCTCTGCAGCTCGTCCGACCTGGTGAAACTCTTCCCACAGAACAGCCAGTTGCACACAAACGGCCGCTCCCCAGAGTGCCACCTCAGGTGCGCCTTGAGGTGAGAAGTTTTCCCGTAAACTTTCCCGCAACCCGGTATGTGACAGATGTGCTGCTTCTTCTTGCCCGGCTCGTCGCTGGACGTGGACGACTGACAGTTCGGACACCTGCACCTCCTGCACCGCCGCGCAGTGGCGAGCGGGGACTTGGTGTGCAGCAGAGCCGCGATCTGCGTCTGGTATTGCGCAAAGTCCGAGTGCCCCAGAACCAAACCTCTCTGCAGCTGGAAGCGGTGCGGGGCGAGGGAGGACGAGTGGCTGACGTGGTTCCCCTGCTGCAGGCTCCACCACGGAATATCCTCCCCGGGGTTTGGGGACAACTGTCTCTGCTGCTGGTGCACAAGGCCGGAGGGTCCCGTGACAAAACTTGGCATCGCGGGCGGGATGGGAGTCGGTGCTGCGTAGCTGACGGCCGGGACGTAGGTGGGAGGGCAGGTGGACTGCAGGGACTGCATGGAGCAGGGCAGCATCTTCACCGGGGAGAAGTCATAGGGGTACGAGGGGTCCGCCGGAGGGGTGAGGGGCAGTTCGTGGTGCGAGCTGAAGGAGCTCTGGATGTGCGCACTGAGCTGGGGCTTGGAGGATAGTCCGAAAGTAGAGTTGCCGGCCAGGCTGCTCTGAGGGTTGCCCTCGTTAGTCCACGGGTGAAACAAACGCGAAGGGGAGCCCAGAGTGGGATCGTAGGGCACCTGGAGGAAATCTGCCGGGTTTGATCCGTGGTGGTGCCCGATCCGGTTACAAGTGGCAGCCAGGAGAGCCAGCGGAGAGTGTTTACAGTTCTCTGGAGAAGAGTTTGGAGTGCGATCCTGGAGAACAGACACACACACACAGCCTCGGTTAGGACCACATTTAACACGTTCACGAGGTTAAAAAAACAAACACAAATAATCAGACACTTGTTTACTAATTACTGAACCGAATGATGAAATTGTTTAGAAAAACCGCGTCCGCTCCGAGTCCAAATAAAAAAAAGTTATGAAATCACGAGACGAGCGCGCGATCCAACTTTTTATCTCCGTTAAACCTTAAATCAATGAGCAAGTTGACAAAGTGGTCAAAGTGAGGAGAAAAGTTGCGCACAAACCTGCAGAAAAGCCTGAAGTGTTTCATTCCGCAGTACAGCCACTGCTGCCATGTCCTCCTCCTCTCGATGGAAACAAACACAAATAATAATAATACTAAAAAAAAAAGCCGCTAATTTAGATAAATATGTGCATTCGCAGTCAAATATGTTGCGGAGCGAGTCTTCAGTGTGCGCTGGCTCCTCTCTCCGATATATCCTTGGTCTATCTGAAGAGTGAGGGATCACTTCTTAGAATTTGATAAGGACTTTGGTGGGCCGCCAGCCAGTCAGAAATAAGATTTATTACTTTGAAGTTTGCCGCTGCCCAATCATCAAAGAATAGCGGCTCTTTGAGAGGGGAAAGCAAATCCTTTGAATCCACAAAGCTCCTATGGTGTGTTTGTTGGTCTGGATAAAGGAGCTGATTATTAGGGGGGTTGGGAAGGGAGGAGATAAAGGCGGGACAATTAATGAAGTAATCACTATGTGGGAAATGTATATACACAAATAATTGGATTTTCTTGATCAAAGACCCCCATGCCGCCTGGAGACCCCGGTATTGGATGCTGTAGTCATCTGATCCTCTTTTTGTAATTAAGGATTTGTAGCAGAACCCTATGTGACAATGTGACATTGTTATCTCTGGAGATCTCCAAGAGCTGCCTGTTTGATGGAGGAAAGAGACCAAAATCAAGTGACTCAACACAAAGTTCTCATCTCGGAAGAATCTCTTTTACATTTCTAATTTGAATTCTAATTTCTTTGTTGTGCCTTTGAACTACAACACAGCATTAAACACTTAATTATGCCCTCTCTGAATTATTTAAATGCTTAGTTCCCCTTCACTCATTTCAATCAGTTGTTTTATCAGCCTCTCACTCCAAATTTAGATTTTTTTTTCTTAAAGCACCTTTTCTTTGTTGAGCTTTAAAACTGACACTCTCTGCGAGAAACATGCACCAAACCTCTGTGTTTTTAAAATCAGGTGACAAAAGCAGCACTTGAAACGTGGACGTCTCAATCACAGCGTTTTCTCGTCACGTCGGGATGCCAACTGGAGAAACAAGCTGCATCCAAACAAAACACAGGTGTGAGCAAACTGTAGTATAAAAACTTACATATCCTGAAATATCCCTTTGTTGTTTGTGAGCATTTAATGAAGGCAAAACTATGCAGTTTTCATAAGATAATATCCACACAAAAAACTTTAGTGGCAGAGCTGGAGAAATGGAAGTTGTAGTTCAACTCTCTGATCTTTATCTGGCTTCCCTGCAGAAACAATCACTGTCCTCTCAACTAGTTTGGAGCGGCAGATTTTGAATTAGATCTGTTCCTTTGAAGGGATTAATGTTCCCAGTCCTCTCCCACGGCTTTACACACAGTCGTGAGGGAAAGGGGGAGTCCTGCTGGGCTGCACTGGAGCCATGTTAAACTACAACACTGGCTACAGCAGCGGTGTAGTTACAGTTACTGATTTAAAGAAAAAAAGAAAAGAAAAACTAGATTAACCTTGTTTACATCAAGTTATGGCTGGTTATGGTCGCCGAGGCTGATGCTGATTAGGAAAATATGCAAGAACTGAGTAAACAGGAAGGACACGGCTTTGAATTCTGAGCCACGTTATATTTAATCTATCATTTACACAAAGAATGTGTCTAGTTTTATAGCTGCTGGTTGGAAAAATGACTGTACAGATGCCACATTATGAATCAGTGCAACCTCAGAACACATGTCACCATCAAGAAGTATTGGTGCTACTTTTTTTTTGTAAACAGGTCACCCTTTGTTAACGGTTTATAAGTTTTATAATGGTTAATTTAATATTTTTTTAATAAGCTTTGTTCTTTAATTAGAAGTCATTAATATGAAGAACTGGGTTGCCAAATCACAAACATGCCCTCGTCCTCCTCGGTGTTTATCCGCCTCCGACTTAACACTTTGTGGTTATTTATCAGTCAGATGACTTATTAACGTACTACAAACTAGGTGGCTTTGTCAAAGACTGTTCATTACCCATATATTAATGTTTTATCAAAATGTATTGGTGGATTACTACCAAACTGAAAGAATAAACAAGAGTAAAGGAACTTGTTAACAACCTGGCACCCCAAACTCTCAAAATGAAAAGGTGTTATCCACGAACAAAAGTGTGAGACTCACGTCAATGATGAACATGTTTTCACTTTGTGTATTTGGGTAGTAAAGGAGTTTGATGCAAAAGGGCTCAAAAAAAGGTAAAAACAGAAAACAGTTAATAGATCAATGAGGAGACATTATATAGGATCACTGGGGTTGCCAGGTTGTGAAAAATGCATCTGATGGGTGTATATCATTTCTATTTGGCAAGAATGCAGGTATAAATGTTGGCAAACATTAATGCAGAATGTTTATAAGCCATTAGTACAAGTTTTTGTTTGCAAGGTCCAGTTGAATTAAAACGATAGAAGTGTTATGTTGGTAGGAGATAAACACCTTCAAAACAGATATTTATTGTGCAAGTTGACAACCTCAACGTTGTTCATGTTTATCACAGCTGATTTATAAAGCATTAGTAAATGGTTTATAAGTCATTTAAAGCTGTTACAAATTAAAAAGTCTGCACAACAGATGCCTAATTACAAAGTGGCACCAAAATGCAGTTTTACTGTGGATTGGACTTAACTGGTGCACAAGTATTTACTGTCACAAACAGGATCTTGACACAAAGTACATGAGAGCAGAATTAGAAAACGACCAAACGCTGTAAACTTGCCCAACCAGCAGAGACCAGACACCTCAAACATCACCGGTAAACATTTTTACAGTCGACACCGTAAAGTTTGTATTTGTGCAGCAAAGGGCTGTCAGTTAGTTTTCGCTTTTAGGTTTAAATGTCAGATAAATGTCAAATGTTGTAATCTGCTCTCTTGCCGTATGTCAAACCAGACAACTGTAAAGTAAAGGGAGAATCCACCCTAAAACAAAATTGAGATTTTACTGTGATCCCCAGCAGCAGCAGCGATATATGGACACTAAAACAGCAGATGTTAATTCTGATTTAGGCTGGATTTTCAAATAAATCTGCTTTACATGTGAGCTGTCATGCCATGCAAGGCAAATTTCTGCCATATATGACAACTGCATGAATTTTGTGAGCCATCAGCATTAAGAAATTATTGATATGTTCCTTTGAGATGCTCGGTTCAGCCCTAAAAGCAGGTTCTTACATTTTAATGCATCTCAATAGGACTCCAGCTGAGGGATGGATTTGGCTGAGCAGGACTTTGATATAGTTTGTAAGAAATTCATGACTGTGTGCTTGACACAATGTCCAGTCCCCGAGGTAATTTACTTGCTCCAAACCTGTGCCGTCTTATGGCCAAGCCTCAAGTTTTACAGGGTTACCTCAGCAGTGGTTTGGCTGAAGGAAAATTTTTCCTGCAGCATTTGATGGGAAAATTAAATTGGAGGAACCTCCACTGCAATAGTTTTCTGCCAGTAGACTCAAAGGTTTGAACATGGACTCAGCCAGAACCATCCAAGTATTTCATCCAGTCCTTTAAAGCAGAAAGCAGAGAGTTGATCAACAGAAATGCTGTTAGGAGGAGCAGATGTGTCTGGAGCTGCATTTAGGGGGATGTAGAGCGTCTACAAGGACAATACAGTTTGTAATCAAGTCGGTAAATAAGAGCACCTTCATATTATGCTTCTATTTTAAACAGAATGAGTTGTAAACACAAATTATCTTCTTTTAAAAGGTCAACAGGTGACTAATTCTTGTAAAGTTTGTTATTGGCATCAGACCAGTAGTTTTTAATATGTGTGAATGACAGCAAGCAGGTGTTCATGTGACTACAACATGATTAGTTATGACCCAGAAGAAGAAAGAAAGAAATTTTATGAGATAAAAATATGTCCAAGTATGAGCCCATGACGACCAATATCATAATGTTTGTGTAGTTGGTGCAATAAATTACAGTAAATATCTCAATCATAAAGTTTTGCATACAATATAAAAATGAGTCACCAGGGTTTGTAAAAAAGAAATACACTGATCAGCAATACCAGTAGTTTAAACACATTTATTTGTCTCATATAAAACAGCAGTTTAGTAGAAATAAATACACATTTACAATAGATGTCAAGTGTGTTGCTGAGATGCAGTTTTGTTTTGGTCCAGTTCAAAGGCGAAGAAGGCAATCTGCAGGAAAGACAGAGAAACTACATTATGCTGCACACGTTAAACACTTTCCAGTATAACTGATAAGCTTCGCATTAGGATCATTCCAGTAAAATGATCTGCACCTTATTCTACTGACCCACAGCGGATGTAAGAAGTGTACACGATCTTGATATTCTGACAGTGAGCAGTGTGGATTTGACAGAGTTGCGGGGCAACGCCACAACACCAACCCTTTTTATAACTTTCCATATTCTCTGGACAGTTGGAGAGAAAACAGGTTCCACATCTGTCTCATACAAGAGATATCAGAGACTTGGGGATGGGTGGGGGAGGGCGGGGTGAGGGGGTGTGAGAGTGAGAGTGAGTGTGTGGGAGAGACAGAAAGAGAGAGAGAGAGAGAGAGAGAGAGAGGGAGGAGGAGGGGGAGAGATGCTCGAGGCTACTGGGTACTTGAGCCGCTATAATGGTGTCTCGTATGAGAAAACATCTGTGAATTTCCTCAGTGATCTACAACAAAGTATAACTCAGAGCAGTCACTCAGCAGACCTTTGAAGTTGCTGTCTGACAGAAAGCTGCCATTGTTCGCAGCCCCCAACACACAGAAACTCCAACTTTGGTCTCACTAATTTTCCCTGCAACGCGATACAACTCTTTTTTTTTTTTTTACCCCCCTTCTCTCTCCCTCTCTTCCGAGCCTATGAAGCCGGGGATCTCTGCATATTCAAGAGCAAACAGCAAAGCCTCGGCAATGCGCAGGGTTGGCCCGGGGTCACGTAAGGCGGGACAGGTCATTTTACCTTCTCTCGGCCCACCCTGGATGCGTTGATCCAGCCTTAAAGAGGAAAACGCTCCCCCCTCTATGATGATGTACAGGGTTACAGCCTCAAGTGCTCTCCCAGGGAAAATTACGATAAAAAGGCATCACCTCCAATCATCAAACTGAGATGCCACACACAAAAAAACAACCCTGAGTTATTCGAGTGCTGTCAGCTTTTAAGGGCAACCAGTTTATTATGCTTGGATTTTTAAACACTTGTTT